AGCATCAGCGAAGTCAACATAAAAAAAAAGGAGAGTGGGAGAGGAAGGAAATAGAGAATGTAAAGCGGAGGAGTGCCAAGTAAGAGGGTGCTACTGAGACAATCTCGGGGAACCGACAGGAAAAGAATTCGACGTCTTCGCTGCGCTTTCAGTCACAGACAGACACAGCGTACGGGGGGAGGGGGGGGGGTTGACTTCTGGAGGTGGGACATCGTCGTGCAGCCGAAGCGAGATAAACGAGTCAAGAAGGGAACGGATAAAACTCGATTGGTCGCTGTGCCTGCGCTGTTAACAAGATGGCGACGCGGTGGCGTAAGAACTTAGAACGGCATGAGAAAGAGCGAGACGAAATACTTACAAAATGGAATGAAACCGTAACAAACGTGCCCAGGACAACGCGAAAGAGCAGTGCGGAGCAGCAAAAAAAGGGGATAACGGGAGGCCAAGTGAAATCCCCAGCGCGACGATGAAGGGAAAAAAGGGCGGTGGGGGTGGAAGGGAATGCGTTTGACAGAAAGAGAAACTCGCAGCGAGACAGGAGAAGCGGGAGAAACACAGAACAGGGAGGATAGCGAATGAGCGGGTGAACTTTGATGCCTATCCGACAGGCAGCCGGCTTGCATTGACGTCTATATTGCTCCCAAGGTGTAGCTTTTCCATATAAGCTCTGCCTTCTTAAGAGGATCCGCATCTCTTTCAGACCGATTGAGCCCGTTTTAATTTCGATACTACTGGACGGTGATGTCCTTAGCGAGCGGAAAGGGAGAACGACCGGAACGAAAAACGAGTTAAAGATGTACTGCGTCAAGCGGTAGATATATAAAAATATTGCAGCGATGAAGAGGAGCCAGGTCCTGTTGTGTCGTCAGATACTCGCGAAGCTACGCTTGACAAGGGGCGTCGCGAGTAACTGCACTTATGGGTTCAGGCCGTGCGTCTTTTTTTATTTTGATTTGTCTTTTTTTGCACATTTCTGCCAATCATCCCGTTCACTCGGCGTTTAATTTTGTTCACCCTATACAGTCCTAAGCCTTCGACGTGACATCACTCCGGTAACCATGATCGTTAATCAGGCCTCCATAACCCCTATTATTTACATCGCATTGTTAATGAAGTTTAATAAAGCTTAACCTAAAGGATCAGCCTTTGGGCATCCTTTAGGTCAAGCTTTTGAGTGGAAAAACTGGGTAACATGTGTCACGCTGGGACCAGACGGCAATAGAAAACGTCACCAGAACTGCTTCGTGCAGAGCATTCTTTGTATAGACAAAATATTTTTTATCAAAATCATATGACAGTCAGACTCCTGTCATTTTCTAACGTGAGCTTTACGTGGAAGTGGAAGTAGTTTGCCCCAGCTGAACAGACACCGTGGACGCAAAATAATAAAGCTTCGTTATTAAAATTTTTAATGGCTGACCCGAGAGCAGTTGTTTATACTATAGAAAGTTGTAGTGCATGACATTCTATGCCTAACTATTTTTTTTTGAGATCGCAAAAGTGACACGCGATTTGAGACATTTGTCATGGAACTTTAAGAGCGATGTCAGAAGCTGACAATGTCTGGCGCGCAGGAAACACGCCTTACGTAAGAGCAAATGTTCACGTGAGAAGAAAGTCACAAAATTTGAGTGAAGGTGAAGAATTGGAGTGAGCCAGAATCTGGTCAGGAGAATCGGCAAGCATTCTGATATCCACAAGTGGACAGCTTAATGTCCGCGTGCAATGGACGGTGCCTGTCAGTTTCTTTCTTGAGCTATAAATAGCTGAGGAACTCTTTCGCCTGTCTGAAAAAATTGCCACTGTGGTTGCCCAGTTTTATGCTTAAAATAGAAAGAGAAGGTTGACATTGCGCTTTTCTTGGGCACAGCTCAAAAGAAATGTATGACCTCTAAACAGCACACGCAATGCTATGAATGATCTGTTAGTTCAAGTGAGATGACTTACCGTCTTTCACGGACTGATACATCTAAGAAGCGCCTTCATTCAGAGTTCGTCACTTACTTATCGCCGATAGTTTCGGTCTGTCATGGGAGTGGTCGCGTTTCTTGCGCGCCGGGTGCAATCACTTTGGATATAACCCTTAAAGTTCAATAATGAATATATCGCATTATGTGGAACGCCTGTGATCTCTCAAAGAGATCAAGGCATGGCGTTGTACGGTCATGCGCTGTAACTTTAAAATATCAACAACTGCTTTCAAACAGATAATTAAAAAGTTAATTCACAAGCTTTTGTTAATCAGGTGCAATGATATCATTTTAGCTGGTTCAGATTATTTCCGCCTTGGCGTATATTTCATGTGCTAAAACGATAGGGGCCTTACTGTCGCAGGATGTTCTTTAAAACATCTGTATAGTCGAAAAAATGAATGTATATCCCTGTACTGAACTACAGAATAGAAAACATGGAAAACGAAATCTCATATGTGACACCATTCGGGTCCCTACCAAAAAAAAAAGTATCTCGAAAAATATAAAATAAAAAAGAAAACAAGGGAAGCTCGAAAGGAAAAATAAAAGTTTTACTGGGAAAACTGAAACCAGCACGTTTACCATGTGTACCTGGATGTTAAAAGCTTGTGATGAAGGCATTGATTCAACACCTTTTTTATGAAATTTAAAATTGAAGCTGAATAGAACAAACAGGTGTACAGGGACAGAAGATAGCTTTTCAATTGTGTCAGACTATCGCTATCAGTCTTCTCTCTTATGCAGTAATAAATTCACCAATAGGCAAGAAAAAAATGGGCGACGCGACTTGGTCATGAAACGTGCAAACGATGACTTCCGCGTACAAACTTCATGTCGTACTTGAAGCTTTCACATTGTGCTACATGAAACAACCCGATTAACAACGTTGGTTTCCAATTTATGTTTTGGGGCCCGGTACACTCCTTTCGGTATGTTTCGTTGCTTCCCTTCCCACTTTTTTTTTCTTGTATAATCACGAAGACAGTTTAGGATATACCTTTAATGCGCCAGCTGTATTTTTTAATTTTTTACATCGGAGCTTCATTTCACCAGGTTCTGGATGATTGTGTCCGTGGACAAAAGGTGCCACAAAACGTTTTGGCGAACTGAATAACTGGACCGATATAACAGTATTGCGACCAAAAGCAAGCAAAACTGTGTAGGATTTAGCGGACGTGGCAGAATGTTGTGTGCGATTTGGCCTCAAGGACGAGACTACCTGCATAAGGAACGAAGGCCATGTCATTTTTATTCTATCTTAATATCCTGGTTTCTAATGTACCACGTGGTTTAATTTTAAGACCACCGTTGGCCGCCGTTGACGAAATAATAAGCGCTATGCGCTAGATAAGCAACAGAATCCTTGAGCACATGTCTTTTTATTCGCTTAATATAGTCCATAGGGATAATAAATTACATTGCTTTAATTAATAGACCCCCCCTTCCGTCGTTTAAGTATGAATTTGCTGGCTTCCATCATCATAGGGGTGAAATGGCACTCCTTGTTTTCTTTTCTGCAGAAAACAAATGTGAAACGCTGAAGATAATTTTAAATACTACGGTAATGAAAACAAAAGTAACAGAATCGAAAGTTGGGCTAGTTGGATATGCATGGTATAACTGTCAGTTCAAGCGCACGAATAAACAGAAAGGAAGGGAGGACAAGTACTACGACGTGCTGCTCAGTGAATATGTTCTTAATGACACGCTTCCTACATAAGCACGCAGGGGTCTGCACCTATACGACCATCACTTTCGGCGACCTGCGACATTGTCGCTTTCCCTGACGCATAATCTCGCGTCTCCAATGACTGATCACTGTGCGTGACGTGCAATTTTGGATGTCCGATGATAGAAGCGGCTGCTTGCGTCAGGTTCGACAACCGACCACTCAGCGCGCACTGAAAGCTGTAACCCCGAAAGCTATCATCAGGATACGTCCCCTGTATGTCGACAACCTGTTATGAAGTGTTCTCTACATGTGCCTACTGACTAGCTCATATGGGTGTATGACCCAAACGCGAGTTTAGGCTTGTTTTTGTGCAATATCATTGCACATTACAAAACATGACGTGCTCCGCAGCACATATAGTTTTATAACGCCAGTCGTCACAGATACTTATAAGTGAACATTGTGTTCACTGAGGAGTATTTTACTGTGTTGGTTTTGCTGTGGTGGATAGACCTGCCACAAGTATTTTATATTTCTTATTACAATAATTATTGCGTTTTTCTCTTTAAAGGAAGCTTTCGAATTGCTCGTCGTTAAATAACCAAATTTAACACTTCTCTATTGCAGCTAATAAAAATGTAATGCATCGTATTCGCCACCTGTCTCCATATCTCTCAGTGTGCATGTACTGGTGGGGCTACGTTTGACTCTTTTTGAATAACACTTCATCCCTTACTTAAAAATATTGAGTATTGTTATAGTTATTACTATTATCCTTTAGAATTTCTAACCCAGTTGATGACTATTTAGATTTTGTTACATGTATAAAGGAATCGGTTTTCACACGATGCATAAATGGTTGTTATAGGGACGTGATATACGTCGCCTATAGACAGACGTACATAGGCAAGTAACAGAACGTACGCTGAGTGTTTTATTCAATAGGCAAATAATCTGGCACTTATCGTTCCGAGTGACAGTTTCATTACCCCATGAACCGCAGGTCGTGGGATCGAATCCCGGCAGCGGCAACCGCATTTTCATTACAGGGAAAAATGCTTATGGCCCGTGTGCTCAGATTTAGGTGCAGGTTAAATAACCACAGGTGGTAGAAACTTGCGGAGCACTCCACTACGGCGTCTTTCGTAATAATATGGTAGTTTTGGGATCATACACCTCTATTATTATTATTATTATTATTATTATTATTATTATTATTATTATTATTATTATTACCCTGTGCCGGTACCCATAATTACTGCTCAGCAATTTGCACTTGTGCAATGCTAGCCTGGCATTGTTTGGCAGGTGATTGAAACCACCCTTACCCACACCATTTTTTTTGTGATTTGCAGTCTCGTCACAACCGAGATGGTAGCGCCACCTACGTGGAGGAAGACGAAGACAAGTTCCTCAGCAGCGAGGACTCGGTCGCTCCGACGGCGCCCAAAGCACTGCCTCTCGACTTCGGTGCGTAGACCAGAGATGAATGCATGTTTTGATTGAAAATTGTTCCTTTTCTCAGTTATTTTTCTCCTAATCTTAATACGTCAAACAGAATTAGACCACAGAGCATCGCGGTTGATTATGTGTTACTCAATTGAGTTTTGCATGAACAAAAGGTGGTGGGGGAAGCGGAAAGGCTGCATGAAAGCCCATGCCATCTATCTTCCGCCGTACAAAAATAAAATAGCTTATGAAGCGTCCTGTGAAAACAAACTTAACGAAAGACAGCTATCCAATGTTAAAAACAAGTCCTATGAGGGTGACCGAAAAGACAGCGAAAAAATTGAAAATGAAACGGCAGTTTCAAAGACTGAAAATGCCCGTGACAGTTTTCAATAGAGATTTTTCAGTGGACCACTTATAAAACGACATTAAAAGAAGAAACCATAAGCCCATTCTGTCAGTCAAATCTTTATTTCAAGCGCGTGATTAAACTACAGAACGCAGATTAACGAAGCACAGATGTAAAACTAGAAATATATAGAAGATATACTATTGAAAAGAAGCACGTTAACTTGAGGTGTGTCAGTGGCTAGATAGATAACGAATAGTTGTGCACCGTAAGGAGTGCGGTTTTCTTTCGCGCAAATGCTCGTGCAACGTCTTGTCTGGCCAACATAGACTTTCCCACAGACAAAGCTTCTTTTTCAGCTGAATTACGTAAACAGGTGAACGTTATTGGCGCAAAAAAATCAAAATATATAATCACAGAAAGTTATTAGGTTTTGAACTGATTAACCTACGGCATATATTGCAGTTCGTAAGTTTATGCTTGTGGAACTGCAACGCACATTCGCTTGATTATGGTTTTGTGGATGGCACTATTTTCGAGATACGAGTTATTAAAATTGCAATAAAAACGTAGGGCAGCAAAAGTGTCGCGTTGATTGACTATGCTAAGTATAGAACATTACAAATGCATCGTTCAGCTAGCACGCGCACATTTTCTTGCTTGGTTATTTGCAATTTCTGTTACATGGTCCGTGGTATCCGTTGCAGCTATGAAGAAACGGTAAATATGAAGGTACAGGATACGTTTAGGTGCTTTTAAATTCCGTACGCGTCCAGCCAAGACAAGATTTCTGACACCTCTTGTCCTTGCTGGAGGTGTCTGTTTCGACTAATCCCAGCGTCCCTTGCTGCGAGGTGGTGCTTGATGTTTTATACGTATACTTAACCACGTGCTTGTTGACATCGAGCTTTCATAGGCGATCGACTGAGAGTCAGGTATTGCGACGCAGCATGAGCTGTCGACATGCTGAGCGAGTACAAGCGCATCATGCGTGCGTATACATCGCTAATCTAGTAGCGCGCATAACCAGCCTTTCTCCGAAATTGTGGGTCCGGCGCCGACAAAGGCATGCTCGCTCACTACTCTGCAAGTCAAAGTTCGTTTCCTCACAGTCAGGTGATCCGAAACTTCGTTTTTTCCTATTGCAAATCGGTGATATGGTTCACTGTAAGCCGGACTATCTGTCGGGCCAAATGTAGTAACAGTAGATAGGATCGCACGTCTAATACGCACTGGTTGCCCCTTAAAAAAACGCTTTTATGCACAGAAGTAGAAACGCACCCAGATTGCCACGTACACGTATTTGTTCACAAAAGTCAAAATACTACCTGCTGAAGTTATGCGTGCTAAAACCACGGTATGGCCACGAGTCAAGCCGTAGGGGAGAGCTTCGGGAATTTTGGACCACCTTGGGCTGTTTAACGTGCACTTAAATCGAAGTACTCGGCCCTCTAGTATGCCCATTTCTATTGAAAATGCTACCACCGCGGCCAAAATTGAACCCGCGACCTTTGGGTAGCAGTGACCAATCGATGGTGAAGCAGCAGTGACCAATCAATAATGTCTTAATCACGCCGATTGCGCCTCTCGGAGTATCATGGGAAGAGCAGAGAGCGTACATTTGCTTGGCATATAATCGCATTCATTCGTGCAATGGTCACCGTAATTTTTTTCTATTTAATTTTGCTCGTCATTAATGGGATGCATGCTGTCCTTGTGACGGCTATCACGCATCGCTATAGCTAGCACCCTTATGCTTCCCGCACCCCATCATCTTGTAAAAGTACGAAAAAAAATTAAAACCACAATGGCACGTCCTCTCTCACTGTCAGCTTTTCCTGTGTCAGCCTCTACCTTTATCTCAACGCACTAGTCCTGCTGCTCAGCAGATGTCGGTGTTACGTAAAAGCTCTAGGACCGGTATAATTTAGAGATTGATTTCGCCTAATGCGATTCCTTTCTCATCATCCACCACTCACGACCGCCTGATGATAACGTGTGCGAGAAGCGCGGCTCGCGCCCCCTGAGGAAGATTTGAAAGGCAAGTAATTGCAATAGAATCGTCACACAGTCATCACTTAGATTTCATTCAACACAGGCGTAGGGCTTAAGATGCGCATGTCGTATTCTAAGTCATTCTATCAAATTTGCCGTAGATCCTTTTTTTTTGCGAAATATTCGGGTTATTACAAATAGGAACTTGATTTCCGTTTGTTCACAGCAAAATTTCCTAGGGACTTTTTATCTTGATCCCCACGTTGCCTCCAGGTATGACCGCGGGGAACTTCTTATGTTCTCAATCTCAAGTAAAACATGTTCAGTACGTTCCCCTCGGGATCCGCCAAATGAAATTGCTTCAGATCGCTCAGTTTTTTTTGTTTTTTTATGGGCGAAGCTTTTTAAAGCGGCACCTGTTCGTCCCCCGCCGAAATGCATAACCAGTCTTACGTTTTGACCTACAAGAAGGTGCCAGTGGGAAATTTCTCCTGTGAGTTGTTGAACAATAAAAAATTCGCAGCGTGCGCAAAACTAAAAGCCGAATTCTCCTGTCTCTCATTCGGCACGTGTTCATTCCTCGTAGCTGTTGTAGTAGTGTGTAACAAGTACAACTTTTTCACCTCCAAGGTGGTACAGGTAAGAGATTTCTTCTGTGCGTTGTTGAACAATAAAAAATAGTGCCCAATGTACATGCTGATGACTGCTGAGGGGGAGTGAGAGACAGGAGAATTTGGCTTTTAGTTAACGCGCATGCTGTGAATTTTTTATTGTTCAACAACGCACAGAAGACAAGAAAGGGTTGCTACGTTATACTCGCTGGGCGTAACCTCCTTGGTTTTAGAAAAGTTTAGATAGCATTGGGCTGCAGTGCCATGAATACAGTGAACTAGTATATAGCATGAACTCGAGGTGGTTAAAGGTGTGAAGTAGACAGGACGCAAAAGCCGAATTCTCCTGTCTCTCATTCCCCATTAGCAGCCATTGGCATATACATTGAGCACTATCTGATAAGAAAGGATTGCTATGTTAAACTCGCTGGGCGTAACCTCTTTGGTATTAGAAAGGTTTAGCGAGCGTTGGGCCACAGTGCCATGAATACAGTGAACTAGTATAAACCATGAACCCGATATAGTTAAAGGTGGGAACAGACACGAAGCGCAAGCCGTAAGAAAGTGTGCGTGTGCCACCTCTCGTTTAGTCCTTGGCATGTCCGCTGGATGGCGGTGCTTCTATATGAGGAATATATGATGAAAAGATGCGACATGGTGGTACTTGGAGTGTTGACTAGATAGACCAACGGACACACAGACAGATGCATGGACGGGCACGCGGATGGCTGCATGGACGGATGGACGCATGGACGAACGCAGGGGCGGATGCATGGACGGACGCATGGATGGGCGTACGGACGCACGAACAGACGCACGCACGGCCGGGCGGATGGACGCATGGACGGTCACACAGACGGACGCATGGACGGACGGAAGCAAGACCGAATGGACGGACGGATGCTTTGCCCCACTCTCCATGATTCACCCCGTGGATGTGCTGCCATTTTTTTCTTCGAGTCAAAAACTGCACAGATTGACAGAAGAGCAATTTCTTACGGGGGTGCCATTTTTTTCGACGTAATCAAATCAGCCAAACAGACAATTAGGACCAAAAAACTTCAATTACACTATTGGTCGTTTTGACTGCAGTGTAGTAATTATGGTGTCATAAATATTAGATCATCATTTATGCTATATATATGATGGCGATGCTGTAATATTTATAAAGAATAGAAGTGCACGAAGAGCACCCTTTCTGTGGCTGGGATGTGAACGCACAACCATCGAATTACACGAACTGCGTTCTCACAGTATGTTTCGTTCGTTTGATACCGGATACTTGAAGCTTGATATAATGTTCTCGTCTCACTTGTGGTTTCAAAACGAGGGGCTGTAAATAGACGACGCCTCTTCAAGCTTCAGCGCGCGACGTTTTCAAAAAAACCATGTTTTCTCAACTAGGCAAGTTCGTCCTTCATTTTCCTTGAACTTCAAAATGGAGAACTTCATTTGTTCAGACGGCACTGTTTGAAGAAACTAACTATAATGTAGGCATGGAACTCGGTCATAAAGAAAAGTAGAACTGAGGTATGACTAAGGGCGAAAAGTTTAAGAACGAAAGAAAAGGCCGAGGAGATCAATTGTGATCAAACATGGTTCCTTATTATCAGGTGTCGTCTGTTTTTATTTTATCAAAAAATAAAATTGTTGAAATTGTCTGGGAATCTGTAGGCACTAAAACTTTCCTCCCATCCTTCCCCAACACATGCAAGCAGAGAAACAGGAACAAGTAACAATACAAATAAACAAAATATACAAACAAATTGACGTATTGGCGAAGAGAACGCGAGTGACTGTAACTGTTATTGCAGAACTAATAAAGGTAGCGACGAAAGAGGGAACATGCTGTCAGAACAAACTGCAGAAAGAACATTAAGCTTTTTGCCCTGACGTTTCACCTTTAGAGTAATGCCTGGCAATGGGCTGCTCTGCCATGTTACGCAAGCCGCATTTCTCCGGTGCAAACGTGCAATAATGCGCACTTGTGCGGACGGAGTTGTGGTGTAATCCGAGTTGCGTTTCGCAGGTCTCGCTCTGCTACTTTTAGTCGGATGCTGCTGCTG